CTGTGAGTCTTTTTTCCGGCACTAGGTACTGGAGCGGGTTAGTAGTCAGATACAACAGATTGGCGAATCAGCAGATATAACAATGAGATTTTGTTGTGACACCTTTGACAGAACAATGCGCCGAACGCGATTCAATGGACAACTTTGACCCATGATCAATTCATTGAAAACCAGCCTGTCTGTTTCGAGGTGTTTGAAAATATAACCAATAGAGTTGATTATCGACCTGGCTTCAAAACTGAAACGCTGCAGAGTTAACTGTTGTTCCACAGAAACTGTAGGGCGCAACTAAATTTTGGACAATTTTTAATAATGGTGAATTACATCGCCCTATCTAGATTCGAACCCTAACCAGATTCAATGGGGGCACATGCACACACTGTTAAGCTCATTGACTTTTGCCTTCATTGCGTTCGGACGCCGGAGGGATGGTGCATGCTGGATAGATACATGCCCTGTTTTGTTTGGCTTGAAGTGTATGCCCTTTAAGCAGTTTAGTCTGTATGCTTACATTATAAGGTCACCAAGTGAATCGCTCCAAAAAGACGGTTGTCGGTTTCTGTTAACATAATCTTCACTTTGCTTTCAGTTTTGCTGGGAGTTACGGACGAAGAGGACTCCGGTTAAGGGTTTTGGGGCTGCGCGACCGTATTGCACATCACTGCTTCACAGGATCAAGGAAGGCGTTGATGAGACTGTGCAGACAAAAGCTTTGGTTGAGACCCCACTAATTTTTATACACAGTTTAATCTGTAAGTATGAATAGCTGACCGGCTGGAATTTACCAATGGTTGCCGCTTCCAGTGAGCCGAGTTAGGTAGTTTGCACCAAGATGGAGTGAATTTTAGTCGAGTACTTTTCGGAACTTGCAAACTTTGACTGCAGCATGAAGGTCGATTATGTAGATGCGTACGACACTCAGTTGTTTGCAGTCCAAATTGGCTCCCAAAGACGGACTTTAGAAGGGCCTAGACATTCTTTTTCACCTAACCAGTTCTCGTCACTGAAGATCATCCCATTACATATAGACATAGTTTGGCGACAATGAAACGCTTGTAAAAAATAGGTCAGCTCAGCCAAAAAACCCACAAGGGACTGTGCAACCACAGCTACAAACGGTCCCCTCGACAGTAGACGATCAGCTCCTAGGTTGCAGAGCAGTTGGCTGATGATCTGTCCGCCAAGCTTAGTAGTTTGCCATCAGACGATAGTCACCTGTTGTGGAGACATCCTTAGCGCGCGGACGGGTGGGCGCTTCCTCCTAACCTGCATGCGCCTATACAGTTTACAAGAGACAGCTCCTGATGTGACTGAGCGGTTGGGGAGCAGCCTCGCTGTTATTTCATTGGTCCTTGTACGATTTGTTCTGCGCTGTTATCTGTTACCCTACAAACCACTGGCTCGTTAGGCGGCTTCCTTTTGGTGGGTCGCATCAAATTTCTGATTATTCCGTTCATCGGATGTGATGCGTTGTGGTCAGTCTTTCTGCGAAGTCATTGGTTATTCTAGCTCTACTTATTTTTGGCAGTCTTCTTTCTGCGTTTTTATTGTCTCGTTCCAAATAGGTATTAGACTCCTCCACCTTCCCTTTGTGACTGATGACTGCGTTCGGTTTGTTAATCAGATGCTGTCCTCTATTTAATTCGTTCCGTTGATTTATTGATCAGAGTCACACCGCAGTTTGGCCTTTTGTAGGCTTGGAGCTTTCTTGTCCTCAGTAGTTGGTAGATTGAATCGATTTCACTGTTTGTTGATGGCGTCTTCGGTGGAGTACGACGCTTCTACGAATCAACGTTGTTCCTTTTATCTTGCCTGTGCTAGTATGTGAACGTTGCTGCAGTCGAACTCATCTCCCTGACGAACTTTGTACACCTAGACGAGGGAAAACTAAGCGCACCCTTTGACAGCGAGTTGGTGTTCGAGGGGCTTGGTTAAAGCCACCCTTCTCGTTCGCCTCATGTGGTGTTTGTAACAATCCTTGCATTGAATCTTGTACATGGTATTGTTATTTGCCACTGAAACTAATTTTTCGTTAGGGTTTTGCCAGCTTTCCCCGAGAGATGTTCACAGATTGTTGCTTCGTTTTTTATGCTGTCGTTACACTCTCGCAGTCATTTCGTTGTGAAAGCACAGTAGCGTGGTTTATTTGCCTTCACTATGTGTTGTTGGGTTGATTATGCTGTTTTTAAGCGATATCCAAATGAAGTTCCTCAAATATCCATCTATTTGAGGGACCTGCTCTTTAGTATTAGGGCTGCACTGTGTGCACTGGGGAGGGTCCTAATGCAGCTTTGATATTAGCCGTTTGTATGGCTGCTGAGGCAGCTCATTGCTGCATCGCTTTTCCGTAAATCTCAGTTCGTATTAGTATAGCTGGTAATCTGGTAACCGAGACATCCAAAAACGACAGTTTCTCATCGTTTTTTCTATTGGGAATCGTCGGAAACGTTGCCTAATATTTGGTTTATCCACTGCAGTCAACTCCTTCTGATGATGAGAAAATTGCCTTTCTCGTGGTTATTCAATGTCTTTGGGCCTACATCAGGCAGGACGATTCGTTCCAACTTTTGCATTTTGATTACTGCGATGAATCCTGAAATTGGTGACTCCACTAGTACTCCTTCCAGTTGCTCGTAATATTGCCCGTTGGATTCAAAATATATAGCCAGGCGTGTGTTGAGCGATTCGCAGAGGCCTTCCTTCTCCAGCGATCCGTTAGGTAAACTATGGCTATCCGGTAGTTCCGCAACCGTTGTCTTGGCGACGTCAAGATCCACCGCTATAAATAGTGGGTTCACATCAAATGAAACCATTCACTTGTTTTTGTAAATGTGTATTTTCTTCAGTTTATCAAAGAAATGCCCTGCATTATCGACTAAGTAGTGTGAATCATTGATGAGATGTTTTAACTTTCTCCAAAATTTCTTTAAGAGTGTCGGAAACGACGCTGTTGGTCGGAGCTGGATTGTTTCTCTGTGCAATTTTGGAAGGTCAGTTTCCTGCAACATGAGACTGTCAATCATCACTAGAAATGTCATCCTTTCAGTTTTTCCCACTAAACCCTATGAACCGTATTTCAATTAAGAACACAATGACTTCAGGTTGTGCTGTCTAGAACAGCCTCAAACTGAAACAACCTGATCATCGCAGCCAGATGGCCAGAAGGTTGCTTCTTCGTTATGCAACTATTCTGAGGTAAACGAAACAAGACGCCTTCCAATTCTTTTAAGCCACATCCATCAGGCGAATCCTTCATACCAGATTTTCCGTTTTCCAACATTATGCTAATTGATTTCATGAATGCATGTCCAACTGTTGAAGAGTAACCAGGACCTACTCAGGCGCACGGAACTTTTCACCCAACTTGAAGAACTGAACTGAACTGAAGCAGCCAACAGATTGTTACAGGGATCATAAACTTGGCTGAGCATTTCCCAACGAGGAAGCAGATGGACGAGATGCCGCCAAGCCCCAACCGTTTCAGAGAAGCTTATTTAGGTAGGCACAACATGAATACTTGCCCTCTAAATGGTTGGATAAGTTCCGATCACTGTGATGGGAATGTTGAGCTCGCGGTCAAATGGTGATAACATGCTGGGCGAATTTCACCCACAATTATCTAACCACATGTGCACGACAATTCATCAGTATGACGATGTTTGAAAAGCCGCCCAAACTAACTAATAATATATGTGGGCGCACAGGGTCAAGAACATACAAGAATGTGGCGGAATAGACCGGCGAATAAAGTCTTTTCAGCTTGTTGCAGAGGTAAACTACGCCCCCTAAGGAAGATGGGAGACTCTTGACCTCGAGAATGACTATCAGTCTAACGGTGATACTACTGCTGGAGGAGGCTTGCGAGTAGTATGTTTTCCCGTAAATCCGTTTTGCGTCTGTTGAAAAGTAAGATCTATTACGGAACTTGTGGAGTCACTTTGTAGCATCTGCTTGGATTTGAGCAACAGTCTATAAATATCCAGGAAAGTTCAGGAAGACGGGTTCAAAAAGAAGATGGATATTGAGTTTTTGTAAGCAAGATACATATGAGAGTTTTGCTTCTCTGTCCATTGGTTTGTAACTGTTCAGTTGGCATTTTCCAATAAATAAATCTGCAGCGAACGCCTTCTTCCCTTCACCAGTTTATGTCCTTAATGTATAAAATGAAAGTTGATGTCATGCTAAGCCGCAAGTTTAGCACAACGATCGGTTTGCACAACCTATACCATGTTCCCGACTGGAGAACAACCTTCATCTTAGAGGAGGTTTAAGACGCGCCTAGGATGTTGTCACCGATAACAGAGTAGTTCATGTCTAGGGCTTCTACGTCATTTTTTACCCTTCAGTTCACGTCAGGATATAGTTTCGTTCTCTAGAAGACTCCGTTTATGAGAGGTCGACTTTAAGAGGAGGCCACATGTGGTCGGCTCCCTCAAATGGTCTATAGAGGAGGTGCAGTTGTACAAGGTTATGACAATAGCCGAATGATATTGCTTTGTTTTGCAAGCAGTGAGAAAGTAGACAACTCATGAGATATCATGCCTATTCAGGAACTCGGTTTACACTTAAATGTTTTTTTGCCATTTCTATGGGTTGACGATTTCCAGCTATCACCGGTCATCAGGCTGTAATAATACGACACCGATGCATTCTAGGCTTTCAGTACCCCTTTTCAGAAAGCGTTAACACAGAAACCACCGACTTAGCTCCTGTGAATGCATTGGAATACCGTCATTCCTGCTGTCCTGTGCGCAGATTTTATATGACGA